TCTCTCTCTCTCTCTCTCATGTAACACCTCCTCAAGCAGTATTTGCCAAACATGTACGTCCGTGGTGTAACTTACAAGAGGCAAAACAAGGGTGGTGGTGGGGGGAGGGGTTGGGGTTAGGGCGAGCAAGTTCCACCTTTAACACAGGGACACCTAGAGCTCCACTTGGCCTGCCCCACGTGACCTTCCCTCTCCCTCACTCCCTCCCTTATCCCTCCTTCCCCCCCTTTCGTCTTCTCTCCCTCCCTCACACAAGCAACACTCTACCTCAACCTCTTCCAGTTTTATGCCATGAATCATTCTGTCTGCTGGAGGAGCCTGCAGAAGGACGAAGCTCGGCGGCAGTAGTTATGAATTGAATTGAGTAGGCAACATATAGACGCAAACATCGAAACTGACGCGACACTACCAAGGAGGAAAATGGTGCGAGCAGAACATTTGGCTGTGGGGGGTGAGGGAAGGAGGGAGGTAGGGGAATGCGGGGGTGTTGTGCGAGGGATGGGGAAGAAAGAATGTGAGTGGAAGGCATTGGGAGGAAGGGGAGGGGGAGGTTGTGGGGATGGTGGATGTCTAGGTAAGTATGGCTGGATCATTTCCTCTGCAACTCACCCCCAACCCACCACACAAGCAGTCCACTCCACCCTACTCTACACCTCACCACCTCTGCTTCCTCCCACCCACTCCATCTCGTCGTCGTCTCCTCCACATACCACGGCCTCTCTCTCTCTCTCTCTCTCTCTCTCTCTCTCTCATTGTCTCACCACTCCTCAACACCTTCTTACCCTCCTCCCTGCCTCTCAGTCACACTCCCCCTCTCCCTCCCTCTCCAGTCACACTCCCTGACTCACCACACTCAAACCATGTGTTAACAGCCGTTGCATAACTTTATCATCGACTTATCGTATATTTTTTGTTGATGCAGTTATTCTTCCGGTAACTAGCACACACACTGAACACACACACACACACACACACACACACACACTCACACTGAACAAGCCTCAAGTGGTGCAGTCAGCGGAATGATGAGTCACCCAGGGTTCAAAACGGCGTGTGATCCAGCTTGAGGTACAGCTTGATTAATAATACCCGGAGAGAGTTTTTGGGTGAGGGACTCAGTTGTACCTTTAAGCTGCCCCAGTAACTCAGTGGACGGTAATCATTATATAAACAAAAACCCGTCATATGAAGATTAGACACCCCAGCTTATTTCACCTGATGGTTAAACACCCTTACTTAATGTGGCCTAATTTAATCCAACCTAATCTAATCTGACCTAAGCTAACCCCTACCCCCTCCCTCCAGCAAACGTTACAGGGGTAAATGTTCATGTGGAGGAGTGAGGAGCCCTTGAGGGGGGGGGGGGATAGGCAGGTGAATGTCTGTAGGTGATAAAACACACACACACACACACACACACACACATGGACTGGTTCCTTTAGATATGGCAAGTATTATAAACCTCGTGAACACTTACCGTAATATTTGGTCCGTCGTCCCTGCTAACTCTCTCTACTGTACAACCCGTGTTTCACTCTCCCACACAACCCGTTATTATGTTTATCTCCAGTTTATTTTACTGTTCTATTTATAAATTTTATTATGCCATGTGTCACTGATCACGCATATTGTATTATGATTATATTATTGATCATTTATTTTGTCTGGACGTGAGACTATGAGTGAGATAGTGAGTGTGTGTGTAGTAGTAGTAGTAGTAGTAGTAGTAGTAGTAGTAGTAGTAGTAGTAATAGTAGTAAGGGACCTCACAGCAAATATATTGAAGGAAATCTACCGGGATGTCATGGTAGAATCGACCCTCCTTCCTTTGGACGGTGAGATCTTCCAACATAGGACTTCAAACACATCTAACGAAGCCCGTGTTGACGTCAGTGCTCGAGGATTCTGGACGCGGGGACAGCGAGCTTTCTTCGGCCGCATGTCACCGTAACTTAGCTCTCGATGCTGCACACAGGAGGAACGAGAACGACAAGATAAGGGCATAGGGCATAGGGGATGGGACCAAGTGCAAGATGTTTCTACGCCAGACTCGCGGAGTTGATCTCCGAACAGAAGCAGCAGCCCAGAAGTTATTTTACAGCCTGGATGAGATGTCGACTGTCTTTCTCTCTCCTTCGGTCGGCTTTTCTCTGCCTCAGGGGGACGAGAGCTTCTGCCCCAATGCCGACAACTGCTGCAGATATTGACTATGGGGCAACAGTTACTGAATGCCGCATAGATCTGCGGCTGAACTAACTCAACACAGATAGGATAGCTACTTATGTATTGGATATTTAATATTAAGGTAATAAAATGGCGGCGAAGGTGTGGTTATTGGGGGAGGCTGGAGGCCACGCAGTAGTAGTAGTGTTGGTTGTTGCTAGGATATCCTGTAATGAGTGTTGGTATACTGGGTCAGGACACACTAACTACGGGAAGGTCATAGGTCATTCAGGGTGAGAAACGTTGTGGTGTTTACGAGTGTGGTGATGAAGACAGTTGTATTAGAGTGTGTTGTGTTTATTGGGAGGTATATAGGTGGAAGAGTGTGTTGCGTGTCTAGTGGAGGAAGTGTTATATCTCTCCCCCTCCTCCTCCTTCCGCTTTTCTCCCCCCACCTCTCTCATGTGTACCCCCACACCCCTACCTCCCCACACTACCTCCCCTCTCTTGTAGTGACCCCACCCTCATTAGCTCCGGGGTGTGTGACTGCCCCCAGCCTCCCTATCTAGAGGTGGGGGGGTGGGGCAGACACACAAGGCGTCTCTCCAATTTCTCACACTCTCTTCCTCCTACTGTGGTGAGTAGCTGGGGAAATAGGCAGCTAGGTCTCTCTCTCCCTCCCTGTACTGTGTGAGTCATCGCTTCCTGCTGCCTGCTCGTTCTCTCCTTTACTTTTCTTTATTCGTGCTCTCTCTCTCTCTTTCTCTCTCTCTCTCTCTCTCTCTCTCTCTCTCTCTCTCTCTCTCTCTCTCTCTCTCTCTCTCTCTCTCTGTTCCTACCTTCTACATTTTCTTTAGCTCTTCTCCTCCCTACTTCTTTCTCCTGTCTTTATTAAATTGTCTCTGGTCGTTTCTTTCCCTCATCTCTTTCTCTCTTCTTCTTCCCCCTTCCTCTTTGTCTTTACTTCCCTCTTGCCGTCCACCTCTTTATTCTTTCCTCTTTGTATTCCTTACTCTTCTCCGTCTACCCTTTCCCAAATTGTCCTCCTCTTTCACACACACACACGAGAGAGAGAGAGAGAGAGAGAGAGAGAGAGAGAAGTGGGTTAGGAGGGCTTAGGAGACTGAAGTGTGTCAATGATAAGGTAAACGACGTCTGGATGTGTGTTACGTCACGTTGCCGGTCACAAGGTATTATCTAAACACCTGTCTTGATTAGTGACAGTACTTGATTTGCTTGCTTGCTTGCTTGGTGTCCTTCGCTGATTGTTTATCTTGCCCTCCCCCCTCCTTCCCCCCTAAAGAAATTCTAAAGGACCTCTAGGGATGAAATGACTCGCTAGCTTCCTACTGTAGATATGTTTTTGTTTTTGTATAACACTAACAGGTACAAACTACAGCTAGTCTGGAATGATGAATACATTTATATATATATTATGTAGAGTAAATATGTAATTCTACACGTATCACTACATTAGAATTCCTCTGTAGAAGATAAAACACTGGGCTGTATATTTATTTTGTATTCTACGGTCTCTACTCACACGTTGTTGAAGAGGACGGTAGCCTCGGTAGGTTACGGTCGAAATTATAGTACTGTTATTGGTTAGGTTAGGTTACTTAGGGTTTGGTCAGGTTGGGCTAGGTTAGGTTAGATTAGGTTGCTTAGATTAGGTTGGTTAGGTTACTTAGGTAGGTTAGTTAGTTTAGGTTAGATTAGGTTGGTTAGATTAGTTTACTTAGGTCAGATTAGGTTACTTACGAAGGTTAGGTTAGGTTAGTTAGGTTAGTTTATGTTAGTTCGGTTAGATTAGGTTCGTTAGGTTAGGTTAGCGGCGACAAGTATATAAAATGAAACACTCAGCTTGTTGTATTTACACACTAATATTACATTAAGTTTCTTCTCTACCAAGGGCCTTATACCTGTCCAGAGAGATGTTGTATTATGTTTGTGTAGCACCTGTAGAGCAAGGACGATGAACCAACACAACACATACTAAACTCTCTTTCTTTCTCTAACCCAGTAATTATTAGATATGAAAATAAAAGATCTTTTCCTTTGTTTTTTTCGCTAATTGGTTATTATTATTTTTTAGTTAATTGTCCGTCTAGGTAGGTGTGTGTGTGTGTGTGTGTGTGTGTGTGTGTGTGTGTGTGTGTGTGTGTGTGTGTGTGTGTGTGTGTGTGTGTCGATAATTACAGGTGTCCGTAAACATCACGTAAATGTTCCTACAATACTCGTGTGTGTGTGTGTAATTTTTATGATACCTTCTTGAATTATTTGTAAATATTCGGTCGATGTGTCTTGTCAAGTACTCGTCCTGTACACGTCTGGTACGCCTCCTTGTCCCTGGTTATTGATGTAATGTTACGTTTTAAGTTATGACGTAGTTTAGTGTTTTTATTTGACTTAACTTTATCCTCTTGGCTAATGGTTCGATCAGCCATGTGTCTATTATTGTCTTTTGTTCCTTTGTTTCCCTCCCTGTGTGTGTTTAAGTCTCACACACACACACACACACACACACACACACACACACACACACACACACACACTCACGACTCACTCTCACCACATCTGCCGCCTTCTCATTTTAACCATAGCTGTAAACTACAACATTAGTTGCCTAAGTATCTAATGTTATCATTTATATCCAAAAGTGTGGGATTAATGTACAGTTGAAATGTATATTCAATTTTGTATGTATTTATTGTAGATCAATGTGTGGACAGTGTGGATAATGTAACCGTGTGTGTGTGTGTGTGTGTGTGTGTGTGTGTGATAGGTACTAGGGATGATGGTATGAGGCTGACCAGGTGTTTACTTGTGTGTTGCAGGTATGACGCCGCCAGTATCTTCTGTTGGAGGTAATTATCACCCTAGCCAGTTACCTGCAGGTAAGTTGTTGGGCCGGCGGCAGGCAGTGCTTCTTCATCCACCTCTCGCCCCAACTGTGGTTCTTCTCCCTCACGGGGTTATCACTCTCCTGCCCCGGCGTCAACACAGGCGAGGCGCACTAAGCTCAAAGGACCAACCTGATCTTTCTCTCTTATATTCTCTCTACCAAACTTCTTTATCTTATTTACTGATGTTTATTGTCTAGGAGCTGTAGGTTGAAGCCGTGTGTTGACCTTATTACATCTAGATAATTATGACAGGTGCTGCTGTTTTTATCTCTCCTCGTTAGGTACAGTGAGGATGGGGTACTGTGATTGTTAGGTATAGTGAGGATGGGGTACTGTGATTGTTAGGTACTAGGTGAGGAAGTTGCAATAGAAAAGAAAATTTTTAGTACAGGTGTGGTGGTGGTGTTTGTGGTACAGGTGTGGTGGTAATGGTGGTGGTTGTGGTATAGGTATGATGGTAATGGTGGTGGTGATGATAATACAGGTTTGTAGGTGGTGGTGGTACAGGTGTGGTGGTAATGGTGGTGGTTGCGGTACAGGTGTGGTGGTGGTGATGATGATAAAGGTTTGTAGGTTGTGGTGGTACACGAGTGATGGTGGTGGTGGTGGTGGTACAGGTGTGGTGGTGGTTGTGGTACAGGTGTGGTGGTGGTGGTTGGTGGTGGTGATGGTACAGGTGTGTAGGTGGAGGTGGTAATTGTGGTGGTACAGGTGTGGTGGTAATGGTGGTGGTTGCAGTGGGTGTGGAGGTGGTGGTTGTGGTACAGGTGTGGTGGTGGTGGTTAGTGGTGGTGATGATGGTACAGGTGTGTAGGTGGTGGTGGTAATTGTGGTGGTACAGGTGTGGTGGTGGTGATGATAAAGGTTTGTAGGTTGTGGTGGTACACGAGTGATGGTGGTGGTGGTGGTACAGGTGTGTAGGTGGTGGTGGTAATTGTGGTGGTACAGGTGTGTAGGTGGTGATGATGATAAAGGTTTGTAGGTTGTGGTGGTACAGGTGTGGTGGTGGTGGTTGGTTGGCGAGGATAGAAGAGAACTTGGTGGTGACGCTCAAGGCCTTGTGACGGGTCGTAGGGAAAGCCCCCGTCTGTCTGCCGCGGCTTACACTACACCAGTCGCCGTCCACCATTACAGAGGCTTCTTACATTCCTACTTCAGGAATTTAGGAATACCTGAGGGGCTTAATGGCCGTTCAGGGTCCTCTCTAATTGGACCATAACTCTTAACTTATTTACCCTAGTTGGTTTAGTAATATACTGTATACTCATCATGTTATAACCTGTACCTTTATATCCGGGTACCATATAGTGAACGTAGAGAAGACGTATACCTGACATTATAGCGTCTTGGTTAGGTTAGGTTCCTCTGATTGGCTCTGATACTTCACTCGTGTCTTGATGGAGAGTCATGACGTGTGTGTGTGTGTGTGTGTGTGTGTGTACGTATAATGTGTGTACACCCCTGATAACCACACGTACAGGAGGAAGGAAGTGGCCATCTATCATCTATTTGTACCGTATGTATGTATGTTTGTCATGTTTACATTTGGAGGGGGGGGGTCGTTCGGGTGTCTCGGCCGGGTAATTATATCGCTCGTTAGTGTATCATCGCAATGTGTCATTTGTTGGTGTAATTAATGGCCTTCGATTTAGAGCCTGAATAATTATGTCGTCACGTCCGTCTGTCGAGTGAGTGTTGAGAGAGAGAGAGAGAGAGAGAGAGAGAGAGAGAGAGAGAGAGAGAGAGAGAGATCTGTGTATGTACTGTATGTATGTATGTGAGGGCAACGGTAGTAATAGGGTTGCTGGTAATACAGTAAATAGGATTAATGAGTAGCGTTACATTGTAGCTGTGTGAGTGTTAACATGGGGGCGGCTCCTACTTCCTTGGGAGGGGACGGCTCCTACTTCCCTGAGGGGCGGCTTGTACTTCATTGGGGGCGGCTCGTACTTCCTTGGGAAGGGTGGCTCCTGCTTACCTGGGAGCGGCTTCTACTTACCTGGGGGCGGCTTGTACTTCCGTGGCGGCAGCTCCTACTTTACCTCGGGGACGGCTCCTACTTACCTGGAGGCCTCAAACTTCATGCAGCTGAAGGTCGAGCGAGTGACTCACAGAATACGGGGGAAACTACAATTTGTGTGTGTGTGTGTGTGTGTGTGTGTGTGTGTGTGTGTGTGTGTGTGTGTGTGTGTAACGGAAGACACAGGGTCATGGGGAAATCCCTGGTACACACACCCACATACGCATTTCCTTTCTTCTTGTCAGTCTGTTTCCCCTCTTTTATGTTTCTTCAAGAGGAGAGTTAGTGGGTTGGAGGGGCGGGCTGTACTGTCACATGGCTCACCACACGTCTTGTGACTGGCCTTGTGCCACCACACACAGTCATGATAAACTCTAGGCGTTGTATTCCGCTGTACATTTTTACCGTGTGAAACTTAAAAATGTTTGTGTTCACGAAGCAAATTTTTTTATTGTGATAAAAACAAGAGCCCAAGATATTTTTATATTAGCATAACTTAATAAGAACCCATTTGCTTATATACGTCATATATACAGTATATCAAAATATTCAGCCAAACATCACATATTGTCCAGAGTCGTAGTCATGCTGAGTAAGGAAAGACACACACACACACACACTCTGCTCGTGTCAACAGTGGCATGTTCCCTTCTGGCTCTCGTCCTGTAGCCATCACCACATAGTTAAGAGGATTATTTTAATGGTGTTGTTATACTGCTTGAACGATGTACAACAATTCAGGGTATGGAGAATTATCGAAAACAAACCCAGAACATTGTTGGGCAGAGAGAGAGAGGGGGTGAGGGAGGCAGAGAGGGAAAGAGGAAGAGAGGAGGGAGGAAGGAAGGAAGGAAGGAGGCAGGCAGGCAGGGAGGAAGAGAGAGGGAGAGAGAGGGAGGGAGAGAGAGGGAGGAGAGGAAAGAGGCAGAGAGACAGAGACGTCGTGCTCACCCAACCATCAGATTTCAGATTTCTCCCTCACAGCGTTGGGACCCCGGCGTATTGGGCCCTGTTCTTTTTTTTTTTTTTTTTAATTTATTTATTGGGCACTCCCCTACATCCATGTGTAAGGTGAAGCGCAGAAGCGTTTACAGCGCCCAACAGGGAAGCATGCTAAGTTCATGCTTGCCTTTATGTCTCATGAGTTAAGGGCGTAGAAGCCTAAAGAGTCAATGGCGTAGAGCCCTCTTCCTGTGGTCCCTTCTAATGAGGTCAAGGTCAAGGTCATGGTCATAGTCGCAACCCTGTAAATGGCAACAGCTGACTTGAGTTGGCACCTTGCCCCTAGTTGTCTGTCGAGTTGTGTGTGTGTGTGTGTGTGTGTGCGTGTGTGTGTGTGCGTGCGTGTGTGTGCGTGCGTGCGTGCGTGCGTGCGTGCGTGCGCGTGTGTGTGTCAACAAATGTAGTGTGGGTGGGGTCAACATACTCGAGTTAGTTGCAGTATTGGTAAAGTATACTGTAAAGTGTTCATGTTGTTTACTCTGTGTAGACTCAGGTTTAGATAGTATACAAGGACCATTTTGTTGGTGGTAGGTGTATTGTGGTAAACACTAGGGTCAGGGTGTGGCTGTGTAGTCCACGGTGGGCTCTGGAGGGGTCACGCCCAGCTTTCACGAGATGAGGTAACGTCACTCAGCCTCTAGCCCGAGTCTCGTTGTATTTCGTGACTTCAAGTTTTATGTGAAAGTGAACCAATTATGACACTCGATTATTACCTGAACATTTTGGCCTTTAATTGTAGATGTTAACTTGTGATTTGAATATAGAATTGTTATTGTTGTTATATAGACCCAATTAAAATAGTATTTAACATAATTAACAATGTAGTTAATGTGCAGATGTGATACAGTAACCACAACACATCAGAGTAGAGTTATGGAGGATAAACATGTGACTGACTGGTGAGTGGTGGCGGCAGTAGGCCTAGCGGAGGCCAATCCTCCTGTGGATATATTATGCTCTCGTCGAGGGCCTGTGTGATTACGTGGAGGACTGTTATAGGTAAATGTTATAGTGAGGAAGGTAAATAGATGGTAGACGGTGTGTGTCAAGTCGTGGCAGCCTCCCTGTTGCTGCTTACGTATTCTTGCTCCAGGTAGTGTGAAGTATGACCCCGCTCCTATACTTCTCGCCACCATTAATCTGCACAGCCATCATCACCAGCACCAGCATACCTGCCACCAAACTGGGGGGGTGTTGTGGTGGGCAGGTTTGATATTTTGGGGGTGGTAATAGCGGGGTGTGAACCAGGTGGATGCGGTGTAGCGGGGCGGCGGAGGGTTGGTGGCCGCTGGTGCCGCCGTCGACGTCGCTCCGCTACACCATCACCACTACCACCAGTCGCCCCGCCAACACCACCACCACGCCACGCACACCCTCTCGCTGACATTGTACGTCGTCACCAGCCTCACCAGCACATCACCAGGCTGTGTGTCCTGCTGGCGGTCAGAGCAAGTGTAGGGGAGTAAAGTGTGACGACAGTGTCATAGTTACCAGGGGAGAGGGAGGCTGTTGCGGGTCCTGAAGGTGTGAGGAACCACTGCCCTGCTGCTACTCCTGCTCTCGTGTGTGTGTGTGTGTGTGTGTGTCCACGCCGCTCCCATCACCTGTCATAACTAGTCACCTATGTTGTGGTCTTAATCAACGTCTGCGTCATGTCATTGCTTACTCACCTCAGCTCTCACCAACCGGCCTAAAACAGCCTCCCGATATACCCTTGGGCGTGAACCACCACTCGTGAGAAGCAAATCTCCACTCTTCAGACTGCCCACTGAGGGAACACTTTGCTATTTACATCACATGACAATGTGAACGACCTTGATCTTCACATACGTCCGTGTGTACCGGTATGGTTGGTGCAGTCATTGTATGCCAAGTTCATGAAAGTGTGTATATACAGTGATTCTCAAGTGTATCATAAGGAAGTGTTATGTACACTTAG